AGATCTTCACAATCCTATCTACGCTGCAGCTGATCAAGGCCCAATCCCACAACTGAAAATTTTAACTTAAGTGCTAACTAAACACATTATCAAATAAAACACATTATATGATGATCCATTGAAGGGCTCCTTTTAAAAGGTATTAGGCTTCTCTGGTAGTTTAAAGACTGTTTAATAAATTTGATGAGTTAAATGATTCAAATGTATCTATTGTTTACGGTAGAATATAAATGTTTCTTCATTGTAAAATGAAGCAAGTAATGTTACCCACCACATAGGATTGTTGTGAAGACCAAATGGGTTAACATATGTAAAGTGCTTAGAACAGTGTTTGATACATAGTTCCCCTTCAAAGAGTATTGGCCATTTAGTATTCATATATCAAATACACGTTCAGTTTCTACTACAAGCCACCTGGGCCTAGAAACAGCAGTGACAGAGAGACAAATATGCTCTGTTCTCATGGAGCTTCCATTCTAGTTAGGGGAAGAAAAAAAAATATGTCACATGCATAAAATGGAGGAAAATAAAACAGGGTAAAGACAACTAGAAAACATTGTGCAGAGGAAGTTGCCATTTTTTATAGTGTGGGTGGTCAGGGAAGTCTTCTCTGATAACTCTGATAAGGCAACATGTGACCAGAGACTTGAAGGAAGTGAGGAAATAAGCTTTGCAGTTATCTGGGGGAAGAGTGTCCTAAGAGATCACAGAGTCAAAAAAAAACCAGGCTACCAAATAAGAAAGTCTAGGTCTGTAACAGGGAGTGACAGGGTCATGTGATATGGAAACCATGCTCCACCAGAGATAGGCCTCAGTTCCATTCAAGGGTTGCTATGAGGGGATGTGCACCCAGTGTTGTCAGATCTTCTAGACTGTTTTTGTTTCTTAAGAAAAACTGTACCTTGAATTTTTAATGTGAACTGTCCAAAGTTTGAAAGTCTGTGTGGGCATAAATGCATATATATGCACATCAAAAGCCTGTACAAGAATGTGCAGACACACAATTTCTAATAGCCCCAAACTGGAAATTACCTAAGCACCATCATTAGGATGGATCAGCTATGGCACAGTTAGTTTCTGCACTGCAGTGAGAAGAAGCCAACTACAATTTCACACATCATGGGTGAATCTCACATCATAATGTTGAATGAGATAATGCTAGGGGCGCCTAGGTGGCTCAGTCAGTTGTGTTGGACCCTTGATTTTGGTTTGGGTCATGATCTCAAGGTCCTGAGATGAAGCCCTATATCATGCTCGCTGCTCAGCAGAGTTTGCATCTCCTTCTCCCTCTATTGCTCCCCCTGCTTGTGTTCTAATAAATAAAATCTTAAAAAAAAGAAAAACAGGTATAACTGAGCTGTGTGGTGGTAGCTAGATAGTGGTTATCCTGGTTGGGTGAAGTGCTAATTTTTTTTCTTGATCTGGTAGCTGATTTAATGAGTGTGTTCAGTTTAACTTTACCAAACTGTACAGTCATTTGTGCACTTTCCTGTATGCATTTATATTTCGTAAAAAGTTAAGACAAAAATGTGGACCAAAGTCTCAGGAGGATCAAAGCTCTGGGCTTCTAGTTTGCTCTATCATGCATAGATAGACATCTTTAGAGAAAACAGAATTTTTTTTTTGAAAACAGAATTTTTAAAAAATAAATTTATACTTCAGAATGCAAATAAGCCCTCTCTGTGTATGCTTTCTTTAGAAGCCTCTACAAAGTCCATTGAGGAACTTGTCTTTCCTTCTGGGTCATTATCAGCCTCCATTTACCCTTACATGTGATCCAATACTATTTTTCATTCGTGCTCTCAAACTAGAAAAATAAATCCCTATATACCATAGTACTTGCCATAACTATCAGTAAAAGCACATAATTAGAAACCATAGATGCAAGAGGAGAACCCAGAGGCAATTTCAAGTAGGTTGTAGTGTACTATAGGCTGAGAGGCTCAAAAAACATAACAGAAATTTCAGGTAATTGTGAAGAGGCGGTAGGAATCACACCGGGCTGAAATAATCTACCCAGGAAACAGGCATCTCTTAGCCTGGACCATGGGCCATGGGTAGAGAATCAATTGGATATAAAAGATAGATTTTAGGGGCACCTGGTTGGTTGGCTTAGTCAGTGGAGCATGCAACTCTTGATCTCGGGGTTGTGGGTTCAGGACCCAAGATGGATATAGAGATTACTTAAAAATAAAAATCTTATTTAAAAAAAAGATTTTATTTGAGAGAGAAAGAGCATGAGCAGGGGGAGCAGCAGGCAGAGGGAGAGCGAGAGGGAGAAGCAGGCTCCCCACTGAGTAGGGGGGGCCTGATGTGGGACTCAATTCCAGGACCCTAGGAACATGACCTGAGCTGAAGGCAGCTGCTTAACCAACTGAACCACCCAGGCGCCCCCTCCCCACCACCCTGACAGGTTTTAGATAGTCATTGCACAAGCACATCCCCAAGGTCCTTCAATTCAGGTGATTGATAGAGTTGGGCAAACTTTTTAAGTAGTGAAGACTGCAGACTATGCATGTATGCTGAGGTTTGGGTCTTGGGGTACCTGAGAAAAATGATTGTCTCAAGAGTTACTGACGTAGAATCACTGATACGGCAGACTTTAGGAACCAAATCAACTTTGCCTCCCAAGAACAAGGGCTAAGGAAGTAGGAATATGGGTAAGGAAGTTAGAGGAAAGTATAACTTTCTAGAGAAAGTCAAACTGTATATATACATCAGGACAAAGAAAGTTGTTCCTGGATTGGGAAGGAATCCTCAGAAGGACTCAATTAGGGCTGCTTAAGAGAAATTCCAGGGCAAAGAGTCTAAATCTAACAGAACTGACAGCTTGTCTAGCGCAACAACTTTGGTATTATTATAATACCTTAGACCATGTAAGAATTTCCCCAAGAGGTATCCTAGGGGTGAGGGAATCTGTGAGCAACGGTGCTAGTTAAATTGTCTGAAAATGCAAGGCCTAGACTAGTTTGTGACTTTCTTCTCAGAGATGACTCCTCAGGAGCATTGCCCAAAGTGAATCAAAACCTTTTGCCTATTTTCAGAATTCAACCTTTTGTTTATCTCTTCCGCCTAATAGTACCAAAACCTGGACCAGTTATAATTCGGTGAACTAGTAATTACGTATTTCATGCTTGATTATATGATCTTTATACTCAGATATTACCAATACCAGTATTTCAGTATTTTCCACCACATAGACTTACCTTAGTACCTTTCACGAAATGCGGTAAAACACCACCTCTAAAGAGTGTCAGACCATCTGAGCTGAATATCAATTTCTAAGGCATTCGTATTAACATTGGTCTTCCTTCCCTACTGTGGAGAGGCATGAGAGAAACTTCACGTGAAGTGGCTTTGAATCTTGAATATTCATGTATATTGTTCATTTTTTACTTTAGAATAACTGTGTACAGTTGACTCCAAGGCTTTTGTGGAAACCACATGACAGGAAGGTTGGGGCATTTACCTTCTACCAGCTAAACTCTCATCAGGCACTGGAGTTCTCTAATGGAAACTCAGAGAAGCTGACGCATAACTCGGCTTTTTCCAGGAGGGTACTCTCCAGAGACTGCCCATGCTGCTGACTTTGCCTAGCTCCGGAGTCAGAAGCAGAAAGACTAAGGATTTTCCCCGCTCCTACATAAATGAGCCCCACTACTTGAAAATGGAGTACAAAAAACTAGCCAAAAGTGATCTCTCCTAAATTAGCTCGAGTATACACCTTCTCCAGGAAGTACTCCTGTATTTGCTGACACACACACACCCTCCCCAAGCCAAGTTAGGTGCCTGATGCCTTGTTCCTCTGCTCCCAGGCAGCAGCTCCATCACTGCACTTGCCCCAGTATGACGATATTTCAATATTTCACTAGAAAAGGCTTAACTTTTTTTTATGACTTTTGTAGTCTGTTGAAACCTATAGACTAATTTTCAGAATGTTTTTCAATGCACAAAATAAAATACATAGGATAACAAAAGAAACCAATTATATTGAAATATAGTTCTTCACTCTAGACAACCTCTGAAGTATGAAGTCCTTGAGTGCAGAACTCTGTCTTCATCTCTGTACTGGCGGTGCCTAGCACAAAGCCTGGCACAAAGATGGTACTTATAAATGTTTATTTAATGAATGAACAGAAATATAGATGGCTACTGCCAAGTCAGCCCGAGGAATGATTCATTGCAACTGCTTGTGCATATACCGACGGCTTGCATATTTCTCACACTGTCTGAGATCATTTAGACCAGGGCTCTGAGGAAACCCCCACTCAACAACAGGTACCACAGCAGCTAGCAATAACAACAGGCTATTGGAAGACCAAAAAAACAACAAAGCTCATGTATTTCCACCAGCCAGACTATTCAGAGAGTGAAAGTAAACAGGTTCTGTCTTCAGGAGGAGACCTCTTGACTTTGGAAGCATGATGGTCACACTGCCTTAAAACACTACAGACAGCTGGAGGAGGAAAGAAAGGAACCTGAGCTAGTGTGTGGGGGTTCTCCAGAGCTCCTCCTCTGTCCTGAATTGGACCTCCATCTCTGGGAAAGAGAATAGTGTCCCTAAAAACCACCATAGGCACATAACATGTGCCATTTTAGGTTCGAGTTTCAGTTTCAGGCTGAGATAGAAATTTTGTTTTTGCTTATGTACCATCAGAAAACCTAAAGAAGCAATAATGAAAGCCAATTCCCTCACTAAAGGGCCAAAGGTTTGTTCTAAGCTGATTGCTACATCTATTAAACATTTTGAAGAGAAAAGTAAAACCCCAGACAATTTTAAAGCTCAAAGCCACAACTATATGGGGTTCAGAAATCTCACCCTTAAGGCTTTTAAGATTGACCCTCCCAAGCTGAGGGCTTCTCTAGCTATTAAAGCCATCCGAGGGATGGGAGAACGTAGTTTTCACTTCCTTGACAACAGGGTTTCCAACATCTGTTGGAAGAAACATGGCTTCAGGTGGGTGCCTTCTTTCAAAAAAAAAAAAAAAAAAAAAGGAAACTACAGGTCAAAGTTTTGCTTTTAATTAAAAACAAAACAAAACAAAACAAAAAAACAAAACCAAAAACCTCCCACTCCTAAGGTTGTGTGCTCTCTTTTTTGACCTCTTTTTCCTTTAAATTGTCTGCAATTTCCCTATATTTGTCCTAGTGCAGTAAACAATGTAATCAAAGAAATAAAAACCAGGGTCCATTCTTGCCCCAAACACTGAAGATGTTCAAAGAGCAGGAATCACAGCACAGAAAATAGCCCAGCTCTAAATATACATACAACATAAAAAACAAAACAAAACAACAACAAAAAAACCCAACCCTCCCCCCAAGATATTATTATTGACATTCCTGGTACATTTCCTATAATATAATGTTGCAGACAATGCTTCTTTCCCAGGGAGTCAAGCTCGCTCAGGAGGAGACATCTACTCGGTGCCTCAGGATAGGCTGGGGCTGTTGAGTCTTCCCTGCCAAGCATAAGGTTTGTTTTTTTTTTGTTTTTGTTTTTTTTTTATGAGCTTAATATCTCACAGAAACATCTGTGGTATAAATGGTATAAATGAATCTAAAAGAGGATGATGGCAGGCAGGCACCTGTCACTGTTCTCCAAATCAGCCAAAAAGCTGAAGACCGCGGGATCCAGGAGACAGATGCTATTAACAGTTGAGGGATGGAGGGCAGAACAAGAGGAAGCACCAAATGAGTGGCTGCTTTTGGTTCCAAAGCCAAAAAAGGGCCCCACCAAAAAGGGCAGCTGGTCTGGATGAGGAACTCCCCTGCACCTGGAGTCATGCAATAAAAATGATGGCCTTGGAGCCCCACCCCCATGATAGCCACAGTCCAAGAACCAGAAAAATTCACACCACATCACAGAGTTTGCAAATGAATAGACTGTTCCTAGTTTAAGAGGGTTAAGTGCTTTGACAAAGTTGGGGAAGGGAGGGAAGGTGAGCTTGAATCACAAAGCACAGCTGTGACAACCAGGATTTCTATTTTTGCCAAGCCACAGGCCCCTAGGCTACTGATGCCACTTGGTCCATGGAGATGTACCCTTCCACTTATTACTGGCCTCTTCTCAAAATGGCACCCATGGTAATAACCCTTAGAGATGTCAAGAGGCATCAGTTGCACTTCTGGAACAAAGATAATTTCCTTGCCCCATCCTGGCCAAAGCATTTCCCTTTTTAAGCTGCTGCTGGTATGCCACCTTCCCTCCAAGCATAGTTCAACCTTCTCTCATTTCAGAGTTTTGCACCTGCCTCTGAGGGCCCTTTCCAGGATACAAAATAAAGTATCCTTCTGCATCCATGTGTGGGTGGGTTGCCATCCAGTGTCAGATCTATATTCCAAAGTTTGGTCAATGCATCTTTACAAAAATAAAACCACATGCATACATAGACAGACTAGCCTGGAAAGGGCTTTCTGAACAGGGTTTCTGATTATCTTTGATGCCTCCTCTAAAGGAAATAACTTTCTTGGTGCAAAAGGATTAGGACATTGAGTGACCTACTCTCAACTTCTGGAAGGACAACTTGTTTTTGTCCATTTTTCAATGAGGGGGTGGGAGGAACCCAACATTTTAAGTTACAACAATGAAATTTTGTTTAAAAAAAGGATCCTATGTGGAAATGAGTGGGACAATGATAAAAATAAACAAATAATTAAAATTCCAAACCAAAACATATCTCCTGGCCCCAAGATTCCCAGTTAATCCTCTAAGACCACAATCTCCACATTGTGGACTTGATGCTGGTGGTCTTCCATCTCAGCCACAACTTTCTCCTCAGTCCTCAGCTCTGTCTCCAAAATGACTGCTTTGCCCTCAGTATCCTCAGCCTCTGGGTCTGGGGCTGGGTCAATCTCAATGATGGTTTGCCCATCCTCCGAGGTGCTTTCAACAGCCTGGATTGCCGAGGTCAGGCCAGACTCCATGGCCACCAGCTCCACGGGGCTTACCATGGTGGTCATGTTGCCCAGGGTACTCCCATCCTGCATGGCAGTAGAGCTTAGCAGTGCCAAGCTAGATGAAGGGTGGATGGTCACTGTGTCTGGTGAGCTGCTCTTGGCAGAGGAGACCACTGTGGCATAGCGGAAGAGCTGAGGGCCAGAAGGCAGTGTATGAACAGTCACAGGACTGGAGCCCTGGCTGAGGGTGGCCACCGGAATATTGCCCATGGAAAATGACTGGCCCACTGGGGTGATGGTGATGGGTGAGATGACTGTGAATTGAGGCTGCTGGACGGGAGGAGAAGGGCTCAGGACTGTGGTAGAAGCTGGCCGCTGGAGCCGGGGCCTTTTTGGAGGCTTAGGAGTGCTCACAGGCATCAGTACCACATTTTGAACCGTCTGGGATTTCAGCCTGTGATCCTGAGCTTGCTTCTTCTGCTCTTCCAACTGGCGTTCCAACTCTGTGGAAAAAAAGACAGACTTTGTGTGGAGAGAAGCATATTCTTGCCAACAGTAAACAGAGTCAGGAAACCTGAGATCTTGTCCTGATTTTGCTATTATATAGCTTCATTGTTTTCTTTTCTTTTTTTTTTTTAAGATTTTATTTATTTATTCATGAGAGACAGAGAGAGGCAGAAACACAAGCAGAAGGAGAAGCAGGCTCCATGCAGGGAGGCTGACATGGGACTCGATCCCAGGTCTCCAGGATCACGCCCTGGGCTAAAGGCAGCGCTAAACCACTGAGCCACCTGGGCTGCCTGCTTCATTGTTTTCTTTTTTTTTTTTTTAATTATTCTTTTTTTTTTTTTTTTTTTTTTAATTTATGATAGTCACAGAGAGAGAGAGAGAGAGAGAGAGAGAGAGAGAGAGAGAGAGAGAGGCAGAGACATAGGCAGAGGGAGAAGCAGGCTCCATGTACCGGGAGCCCGACGTGGGATTCGATCCCGGGTCTCCAGGATCGCGCCCTGGGCCAAAGGCAGGCGCCAAACCGCTGCGCCACCCAGGGATCCCTGCTTCATTGTTTTCAAAACAAGAAACCAAACTGGATGATCTTAAAAATCCCTCCAGGAAAAAAAAAAAAAAAAAATCCCTCCAGCAATTACATTCCATTATGTGATTATAGGCAGGGCAAAAATTAAGGATCTTTTTCAGGCTGTGATCCTACTATAGCTCAACCCTAGAAGCTCCTGTGGCATTTTGTCACCTGTCACCAAAATGCAAACCAACAAAGCCTGCAGTTGATCTTGAAGCTTACAGATGCCTTGCCTGGATCTACAGATGAAAATAAGGTATATAAGCACAATTCCTTTGGAACTAATATGGACCTACAGAAGACCTACAATGGCTGCTCCAAAAAACAGTGATTCCCAAACTGTCCTTTAAGGCATGATCACCTTGCTGGTGACCTTAGTCTACCAAATGGCCTTAGTCTACCATTACCACCCAGAGAAGTCTACAGAAAGTTATACAGGAAGTCCTTAAGAATAATTAGAGAACTAAAAGAGGTCTTAGAGTTCTAACACATTCATTTTAACTGGGATCCAGAGAGGTAAAGTAACTTAAAGTCTCAGAGCTTGGACAAAATTCTGATGGCCAACTTCGTGGCTTTTCCACCGTATTACATCTATCAGTATCCCTCTCCCAGTGTATAATCCAACCCTGGTGACCACTGATGAGTCTGGTTCTACACTTTAACTCCTTTATGGCTTAATACCCGAGGAACAGTCAATAAATAATCCGTTACATCTGTGGAGCTCTTTGCTCCTATGGAATACCATGAGTGAGTCAATTCCTTGCCTGGAATAAAAGGAGTAGGTAAGGATCAAGAACATATTTAAAAAAATATTTTTGGTGGGCAGCCCCGGTGGCTCAGTGGTTTAGCACCACCTTTGGCCCAGGGCATGATCCTGGAGACCTGGGATCGAGTCCCACGTCAGGCTCCCTGCAAGGAGCCTGCTTCTCCCTCTCCCTGTGTCTCTGCCTCTCTCTCTCTCTCTCTCTCTCTCTCATGAATAAATAAAATCTTTAAAAAATATAAAAAATTAAAAAATATTTTTTCATTAAAAAAATTTTAAATACTGCCTCATAAGTTATAAAATACTACATTTTTTTCCATTTTCAGTAGTAACCAAAGAAATGTGAACCTCAAGAGGATTAACAATTACATCTCTAATTTAAAAAAAATTTAAACCAGAGAATATTATAAATAACAACATTTAATGCTGGTGTGTTCAAAATGGTGACATAATTTTGGAAATTTGGCAACATGTCATAAAAATCCATAAAACAATTATTTAGTACCATTTAACCTGAAACTTAGTTCTGGGAAGTAGTTTAAAAGGATATAAAAAGAAAAAGTTATATTCATATAAGTTCACTGCAACAAAATAAACTACTGAAGAAAAGTCTGAAAATTTAAATGTCATTCCTAGAAGAATGTCTAGGTAAAGTACTATGTAGCAACTTGGGAAAGTATTAATATGTCACAGTGAAAAAAGCAGAAAACAAATCTTTACGTATACTATGATTAAACCTATCTTTAAAAAAAAAATACAAAGAACCAGAAGCCCAGATTCTTAAGAAAAAACATTTTTTGGATGGTGTGAAGTTTCAAGGTGAAAGCACTGGATTAGGAGTAAGAAAGCCAAATTCTATTCCAGGCTTCATTGCCAAGTACTGATGTGGCCCCAAGGCAAATCATTTATCCTCCTTGTCCCTCTACTGGGTCATCTATAAAAGAGGGATAATAGCCTATAACATTCTTAGGAGGATTAAATAAAAAGGGTCTCAGAGTGCTCTGTAAAACGAGTTTAAAATATATATTGAAAAAATAAATAAATATAATATATATTGAGGGACCCCTGAGTGGCGCAGCGGTTTGGCGCCTGCCTTTGGCCCAGGGCGCGATCCTGGAGACCCGGGATTGAATCCCACGTTGGGCTCCCGGTGCATGGAGCCTGCTTCTCCCTCTGCCTATGTCTCTGCCTCTCTCTCTCTCTCTCTGTGTGACTATCATAAATAAATAAAAATAAAAATAAAAATAAAAATAAAAATAAAAATAAAAATAAAAATAAAAATAAAAATAAAATATATATTGAGTATAAAAATGAGTTTAAGACAACATAACTTATTTTTCCCTTAACCAAATAATCTTGTCTTTTGCCTTCATGACTAACTATAATATATTCTACATTATTCAAAGATGATAATCTGAGTTGTTTTCTTTGACCTGCTTTACCCAAAACCTTTTCTTGATTCTCTTTGGATGTAAGTGACAATTTCTTTTGTTCTTCCACTATCCATACCCACTATATGCCCCAGTTACAAAACTGACTACTTTTTGCACTTATTTCTATGTCTGCTTTCTCTTGAGCTCCTTAAAGACCATGTAGAGAGTGAGGCTATCTTAGTCAACATTATATTTCTACAACCTAGTTTGGAGACAGTGCAAATTAAGTACTTGATAAAAGGAGTTAAATTATTCATCTGCTCATAATTTCTGATTATCACAAATAATGGAGAAGGTGCTAAATTTATCAAAAGATAACAATGTAATGTAACAAAGACAAGGGCCAATTTGTTTCTTCTGCCACTGATATTACTGGATTAATGGAGCAACTGAGTAGACATCTTAACCTTCTAAAAGATACAGAAGGAGGACCATGATGAGGAAGGAAGGAAGTTAGAGAGGGAAGAATCAAGTCCACAAAGAAATGGCAAGACTCAAGGATATTACTATAATATCACCTAGGAAGAAACAGAAGTTATACACACCTGTCAGAGTATAGAGAAACTGCTCTTCTCCCTGTTCTACTTGGTTCCTTCTGTTGTCCAAAACCTTCTTCACCGTGTCCATTAGGCCAAATGTATGTGCTACATTGTTGAGAACAGCAGCGTCTATTTAAAACAAAGATATGCCTGTCAAGTTAAAACAGAAGTGTTCCCCCAGCCCTGTGTTGTGCTGTTTATTAAATATGAAACAACTCAGAAATGACAGTATTATTCAATTGCATTTTTAGAAATTTTGGCAAAGATGTACCACATGTATAATTAACTTTGATTTAATTGTTATAACTTTTTTTTAATTGTTACAACTTTATCATCTTTCGATATAAATAAATACAAAAATAAAAAAATATTGCATCTGGTTATAAGTTCTGACTTCTGATTTAGAAAACATGGTCATTGTGCCAGATAGAGCTAAGTTTGAATCTCGGTTTTATGGTTTCCTATCTATGTAAACTTAGTTAAGTCATTTCACTCCTCAGTTTTCTCATCTGAAAAAAAGGGCCTAATAATACTTACTTGGCAAGACAGATATGAAGATTAGAAGTAACATATTTTAGAGGCACCTGAGTGGCTCAGTTGGTTAAGTGTCAAACCCTTGATTTTGGCTCAGGTCATGTTCTCAGGGTTGTGAGATCAAGCTCCACATTGGGCTCTGCACTCAGCAAAAAGTCTGCTTGTCCCTCTTTCTCTATTCTTCCCCCTGCTCACTCTCTCTCTCTCTCTCTCTCTCTCTCAAATAAATAAATATAATATTTTTTTAAAAAGTATCATATTTTAAGTGTCAGACATGAGAACTGGTTTGCAATGTTATTAATAGCATTATCTCTGTTCCTCTTTATACAAAACTTTTTGAAAGCATTGTCAGTAGTTGTGGTCATTACTTCCTTAACTCAGACCACTTCTCCACCCATAACTCTCTTCCCTAGTCATCTCATCTAGTCCCATGCTTTTATTTTTAATTTTTTTTTAAGATTTATTTATTTTATTCAGAGACAGAGAGAGACTGAGAGGCAGAGACACAGGCAGAGGGAGAAGTAGGCTCCATGCAGGAAGCCTGACATGGGACTCGATCCCGGGTCTCCAGGATCACACCCCGGGCTGCAGGCGGTGCCAAACCGCTGTGCCACCGGGGCTGCCCAATTTTTTTAAAGATTTTATTTATTATGAGAGAGAGAGAGAGAGAGAGAGAGAGAGAGAGAGAGAGAGAGGCAGAGACAAGGCAGAGGGAGAAGCAGGCTCCATGCAGGGAGCCTGATGTGGGACTCAATGAGTGGGACTCCAGGATTAAGCCCTGGGCCGAAGGCAGGTGCCAAACCACTGAGCCACCCAGGGATCCCAGTCTCATGCTTTTAAATAACATGTACCTGCTGAGAACTCCCACATGCAGATCTCCAACCCTAAACCCTTTCCTGTGTGCCAGACTCATACTTCCATCTAGCTGAGTGACATCTCCATTTGAAAGCCACATAAGCATTTAGCAAGTCAAAACTAATTATTTTCTTTTTTCTTTTCTTTCCTTTTTTTTTTTTTTAAAGTAAGCTCTACACCTAACGTGGGGCTTGAACTCACAACCCTGAGATCACAAATCACATGCTCCACCCACTGAGCCAGCCAGGTGCCCCAAGTCCAAACTAACTTTGAGGGGTGCCTGGCGGGCTCAGTCAGAAGAGTGTGTGTCTCTTGATCTCAGGGTCATGAGTTTAAGCCCTATATACTGGCTATGGAGCCTACTTTATTATTTTTTTATTTTTATTTTTTTTAAAGATTTATTTATTTATTTATTCATGACAGAGAGAGGCACAGGCAGAGGGAGGCGCAGGCTCCATGCAGGGAGCCTGACGTGGGACTCAGTCCCGGGTCTCCAGGATCACACCCCGGGCTGAAGGCAGCGATAAACTGCTGTGCCACTGGGGCTGCCCTGGAGCCTACTTTAAAAACAACAAAAATCTAACTACTGGGATGCCTGGGTGGCTCAGTGGTTGAGTGTCTGCCTTCGGCTCAGGGTGTGATTCTGGTCCTGGGATTGAGTCCGTATCAGGATCCCTGCATGGAGCCTGCTTCTCCCTCTGCCTGTGTCTCTGCCTCTCTTTGTGTGTCTCTTATGAATAAATAAAATATTTTAAACAAAAAAATAAAAATCCAACTACTAACTTTGATGTCCTCTCCCAGTGATCTTCATCTCAGGAAATGGTGTCACTATTCATGGCTCAGGCCAAAAATGTAGGAGTTATCCTGGATTTCTGTCTTTTTCTTTTACTCTACAACCAATTCATCAGTAGGACTTATCAGTTTCACATTCAAGTTATATCCCCAATATGATAACTTCTTCCCAGGTTTTACCTCTATCACCTCTAAGCCATGCCACCATCATCTCTTGTCTGGAGTAATTCTTTCAAGAGTCTCCTAACTGATTTCTTCTCATTTCTTTTTTTTTTTCCTTTTAAGATTTTATTCATTTATTCATGAGAGACACACACACGGGGAGAGAGAGAGAGAGAGAGAGAGAGAGAGAGAGAGAGAGAGAGGCAGAGACACAGGCAGAGGGAGAAGCAGGCTGGCTCCATGCAGGGAGCCCGACATGGGACTGGATCCTGGGTCTCTAGGATCACACCCTGGGCTGAAGGCAGTGCTAAACCACTGAGCCACCAGGGCTGCCCTCATGTCTTTTTTTTAAGTAGGCTCCAGGCCTAATGTCGGGCTCAAACTAACAACCCTGAGAGCAAGAGTTGCACTCTCCACCAACTGAGCTAGCCAGGAACCCCTCCCAACTGATTTCTTGCCCCATACAGTATATTCTCCATAGAGCAACCAAAGTGATCTTTTAAAAATATAAAAAATATATAATTATATAAAAAATATAAAAATATAAATAAATGTTATCACTTTACTCCCCTGCTCAAAAGCACTATGATAGCTTACCATCACCTTAAAATAAAACCAAAGTTTAGGGACACCTGGGTGGCTCAGCGATTGAGCATCTGCCTTTGGCACAGGGCATGATCCCGGAGTCTTGGGATCAAGTCCCACATGGGCTCCTTGCATGGAGCCTGCTTCTCCCTCTACCTGTATCTCTGCCCTCTCTCTGTGTGCCTCTCATGAATAAAAATAAAATCTTAAAAAAAAAAATTCTAACCAAAGCTTATCTAAAATATCCTCTTTATTGCCCTTCAACCTCGTCACCTATCACTCTCCCATACCCTATTCCACTGTGGCTGCCTCCATGCTTCTCTAATTCTTTGAACCCATCAGGCCCATTGCAACTTCAAGGTCTTTGTTCCTTCTCCCTGAAATGTTCCTTCTCCCAGTTCATCACATGGCTAGCTTCTTCAGTTCAAATGCCACCTTTAGAGAGGCCTTCCTTGACCACCCTATCTGAAAGTCATCCCTGCTTTCTATGTTACTTGCTTTTTTTATTCCACCAAGCACATAAAAAAAAAAAAAAGACTTTACTGTAAAGTTTAAGTGTATTTATATAATGTAGGAATTATAAAGAGGTAATAAGACACAAGTAACAAATCTAGAAACTCACTGACACACAAGCTTATGAGATATTATTATGACTTTTTTTTAAATACACTCTACCCCCAATGTGGGGCTCAAACTCATGACCCCAAGATTAAGAGTCACATGCTCCACCAACTGAGCCAACCAGGCGCCCCATTATCATGACCCTTTTGTATCAGATGATTAGAATATCCTTTTACATTATGCATAGCAGGAAGTACCCAAAGGGTATTCAGACACAGCTGTAAGTGCAAATAACAGTTCTGGAAACCCTAAACTGACAGAATATGAGACTTGTCTAAAACCAGGTAGCTTTCTCCAATTTTCAGACTCTATCTATATATATGTAACAGAGAGAGAAAGCCTGCTTTCTGGCACCATTTATAAAAGTAAAAATTACCTGTGGAAAAAGTATGACCAGACTTGAGTTCAAAACCTTCTTATGAGCTCTGGACAAGTAACTTAACTTGTACGAACCTGTGCTCGCTTCGGCAGCACATAACACTAAAAAAAAAAACAACTTGTACGAACCTTCGTTTCCTAATCTGTAAAATGGGGATAATAATACCCCAGTGTTTTCATGAGGCTAACAGGATCTGCTTACAGTTGTTAGTGTTCAATAATGACCACTGTTGTTAGAATTAAGGCACTTACCTGTTACCTGGAAGGGAGCCTGAATGAGCCGCTGCTGAACTCCCCTGAGTAGCTCCTCTATTTCCTTCTGTATATTGCAGACAACCTCTTCCATCAGCCCTACATCAGCTATTCCTTTCCAGAACATCAAAGTGTCCTCTGACACAAGAGAGATAAGACAGAAGGTAAATAAGTGCCTACGGTACTTAGGCACATCTCTACAAGTTAAACTTGAAATTATTTTAATCTGAAATGATTTCTTGTTGAGCCATTTCTGGGAAAAAGGAAGAAGCTTTTGGAATACTAGCTGCCCCTCTAAGTTGGTACCCAATTATTTGGCCTCTTTAGCATCATAGGGACTTGAGGTAATTGCCTCAATTTGTCATGGCTTTGGCTACAGGGAGTGGGTTATCTTCCTCCAAAAAAGATATTAAATAAGGGCAGCCTGTGTGGTTCAGCGGTTTAGTGCTGCCTTTGGCCCAGGGCCTGATCCTGAAGACCTGGGATCAAGTCCCACGTCGGGTTCCCTGCATGGAGCCTGCTTTTCCTTCTGCCTGTGTCTCTGCCTCTCTCTCTCTGTGTGTCTCTCATGAATAAATAAATAAAATCTTTAAAAAATATATTAAATAAATACTAAGTATTATTTATTTAAATAATTTAATTTAAAATTAAATAGTATTTAATATCTTAAAAGTTAAATAATAAATACATTAAGTTAGAGATATACAGGTAAGCCTTGTACAACATAGTGTGAACTGTGAAGGTCCACTTATATATAGATTTTTTTCAATAAATACAGTCTAGTGATGTAAATTTATCTTATGACTTTCTTTTTTCTTTTTTTTTTTTTTTTAAGATTTTATTTATTTATTCATGAGAAACACAAAGAGAGAAGCCAGAGACACAGGCAAGGGAGAAGCAGGCTCCATGCAGGAAACCCGACGTGGGACTCGATCCCAGGTCTCCAGGATCACGCCCTGGGCTGAAGGCGGCACTAAACCGCTGAGCCACCTGGGCTGCCCATATCTTATGACTTTCTTATTAACATTTTCTTTTGTCTAGTTTACTTTATTGTAAGACTACAGTATATAATACATATAACATACAAAGTATGTTAATCGACTATGTTATCGATAAGGCTTGTACTTAAGTTTTGTGGGACGGCAGGGGGGTCAAGTTACACTCGGATTTTCTTTTTTCCTTTTTTTTTTTTTAAGATTTTATTTATTTATTCATGAGAGACACAGAGAGAGAGAGAGAGAGAGAGAGAGAGAGAGAGAGAGAGAGACAGAGGCATAGGCAGAGGGGGAAGCAGGCTCCATGCAGGGAACCCGATTTTGTGGGACTCAATCCCAGGACCACGGGATCACAACCTGAGCCAAAGGCAGATGCTCAATTGCACCCAAGCATCCCACACTCGGATTTTCAACTGCACAGGAGGTTGGTGCCCCAAACCATCATATTGTTCAAGGATCAACCATACTCTCTCTAGTCTTATACTTACAAGATAAAGTAAAACAGTTGAATAGGTGGGATTATAAGCTCCCTAAGGGCAGAGGCTGTCTTTTCATCTATGTTGACAACAGTGCCAACTAAAAATAGGCAGCAATAAATATTTTTCAAGTGAATTAATGAATGGAGGATAATGTGAAACCTTTCCTGGTCCCCTCTAAGTGAATCATCATGAATCACCATCCTCTACACCACCTGCTACCTAATTTTTTTCTTTTAACATCTTGCAGCTTGGTTTATCTAAGAAATGTTCCAAAGTTGGAGGCAGTTTGACAGGATGAAAAGCACTGACTACAGAGTCAAACAGCTGAATTTGGCTCTGACACTATTGGTTGGGTGACTGGTCTTAGGCAAGCTGCTGAACCGTTTCGAATCTCAATTTTTTCCTATGTAAAATGTGACTGTGCATGGCTGTTGTGGTATGGATTATAATAAAATGTTTGTAGCTACAATTAATATCAATATGCATGAGAAAAATCAGCAAAAGTAATTAAGAGACCTATTGTGTCCCTAATCATAATGGTGAGAAGAGTAACAAAACCCTGCAAGATATCTGAGCCACATAGAAAAGTACCTGAAATTTCCTCTGAGTCTTTCTTCACACCCTCCTCTGTAGCCATGGTGACAGCAGCAGTGAGAGCAGAGTTCCATTCCAGCCCTGCCTCTTCCATGCTCTCTTCCGAGATGGCAATCTGTGTGATACTACCTAAAAGCAGTCCATCAGAGGTAAAGCCAGTGAATTTCATGAAAAAGTCATAGCGATCCTTTTTCTCATACAGCTAAAGAGACCCTATTATTTTAACATTCTGGCCTTTTTGCCTTGAGGTCCATATAGTAAAAACTAGAATCTTTGGTAAGCTAGGACGAATATCGGATTTTCTAAAGAAAACCTTCTTTCAAAGGAAAATGCTTTCTTCTTACTCTTAATAGAAAGTGAAAGATAACTTATAAAATCACAAAAGAGCAATCTGCTTCCTGAGCAGGCGTTTTTTAAAAAAAAACTGAAGGTGAGCATGATTGCCAGGCTATCTGCCCAGACTTAGTGAGGATGAAGAGGGCCTGAAATAATTTAAGAGAAAAGTATGGTGCTTAGCCAACAGCCCTACTACAAGCATATTTGATACTAACCATCTAGACTTCAGAAGTTGCTATATAGCTTATTTATCAGGCTATGTAAGAGAAAGCAAGAGAAATGAGACCTAAAAAAATCATATAAGAGACCCAAGAATAATAGATTCACAGAAGAAAAGGACTTTTCCTATTAATATTGTGTATTGGGATGCCTGGGTAGTTCAGTGGTTGAGTGTCTGTCTGCCTTTGGCTCAGGGTGCCATCCTGGGGTCCCCAGATCAAGTCCCACATCAGGCTCCCCACAGGGAGCCTGCTTCTCCCTCTGTCTATGTCTCTGCCTCTCTCTGTGTCTCTCATGAATAAATAAAATCTTTTTTAAAAAGTGTATTAAGATTTTAGTTTATTAATTTTTTTAAGTAATCTTTCCACTCAACATGAGGCTCAAACTCATGACCCTGAGATCAGAAGTCATGTGCTCTTTTGACTGAGCCAGCCAGGCACCCCTCATACATTAAGATTTTAAACAAAGAGAATCGAGAAATATCAAACTGATCCAGATAGATATATAGATGAGTGTGGACTCCACATTCTGGAGGATATTAATAATCAAGCAAAAAAATAATACTGATAATCAACTAAAGGAGTTTCAGCAAATAAAAGAAGTAAAAAATTTCACAGCATTTCTTACTTTTTAAGTGAAAGACTCACAAAAATTCAATCTGCTAGATATTTAATACTCTCCTGAAGGGAACTTAGGTTCCAGGAGATTAGGCTTCTTCTCACCCAGTGGTTACTTATAGAATATTAGGGCTGACCAAAAGAAACCTTGAGACGTCATTTTTAAAACATGTTATTTCCCTTACATCTGTTAGTATCCTTGTGACCATCAGGCATAGTTATAAGCCTTCTGGAAGTAGTTGAGATAAGAATCTTAACTGTGTTAAGTCTTCAGCTGGACTAACTGAATCTTTATTTTTTTTAATTTTTTTTAATTTATTTATGATAGTTACACACACACACACAGAGAGAGAGAGAGAGAGAGAGAGAGAGGCAGAGAGAGAAGCAGGCTCCATGCACCGGGAGCCCGACGTGGGATTCGATCCTGGGTCTCCAGGATCGCGCCCTGGGCCAAAGGCAGGCGCCAAACCGCTGCGCCACCCAGGGATCCCTGAATCTTTATTTAAAGTTTATTTACTTATTTATGTAACCTCTACACCCAATATGGGACTTGAACTCATGACCTTGAGATCAAGAGTTGCACATTCTTCCAATTGAGCCAACTGGGTGCCCCTGGACTAACTGAATCCTTAATAATTATCCCATGTAGCTCCATCTTTCCTAGAGCAGGGCAGAGAGCTTAGTCCCAAGGTCAACAATACTGAAATTAAGCGTATGCCCATCCTGCCTCATTTGTGAGGAAGCCTCAACTTGGTTATATGGATCCCTTCCAAGCAGAGCTCTTTGAGCCTTACCGCAGTCTCCAGAGGCTAGTCCAGCCAGCCATACATTATCTTTGATACATCTCAGCTCAACAGTTGAAAACCATTCACCATTCTAATCTACCCTCCTGCCTTGACCACCAGCAGAACAAAGGATTTTCTTTTTTTTTTTAAGATTTTATTTATTTATTTATGAGAGACAGAGAGAGAGAGAGAGAGAGAGAGAGAGAGATACAAACAGAGGGAAAGCAGGCTCCATGCAGAGAGCCCGATGTGGGACTCGATCCTGGGGAGTCCAGGATCACGCCCTGGGCCAAAGGCAGGCCCTAAACCGCTGAGCCACCCAGGGATCCCAGAACAAAGGATTTTCAAAACAATCTAATTTCAAAGGTATGCCAAGTAGCACCAAAATGAGACCACTGAATAAACATAATAACCACTGAACCATCTTTCTTTCTTTTGAGAGGCAGAGAGAATGCATGTGTACACACACACACACACACACACACACACACACGCAGGGAAGGGGCAGGAGAAAGAGAAAGAGAGAGAGAGAGAGAGAGAGAGAGAGAGAGAGAGAGAGAGAATCTTAAGCAGCCTCCACACCCAGCACAGGGCCTGACATGGAGGTTGATCTCACAACGCTGAGATTATGACCCGAGCTAAAATCAAGAGTCGGACGTTTAACTGACTGAGCCACCCAAGCATCTCTGAACCATCTTTCTTATGTTTATCATGCATAGTTAGAAAGAAACAAGTAAGGAAGTACGACCAATAGGAATCATCTGGGATAAAACAAAGAGATCTGTTTCTAAAGTATGGAATTGCACCCAAGATTAGCATACCTTACAGGGACATCAGTGCTCATGAGAATTAAAATTAAGAAACACAAAAGAGAAGGGGAAATGTGTTACTAAAAAACACTCGGGTTTCAGGTGGTTTCCTACCCCCTACCATCGGCCGAAGTGGGTGTCTGCACCACACTTGTCTGCTGTCCTGGCACTGGAGCTCTTGCACTGCTGATCAGAAGGTCAAATTTGGTGCTTCTGCAGGTATTGGAGCAAACCTTGTCATGTTGGTAAAAGTCAATCTGTCCAGAGTCCATCATTTTCCTGTGTAAAGGAGACAAAAAGTACTCGTTCAGTCTGCACTACATCTAGATGGAACTAGGCCTCTAGGACAAATAAAAACAAAGTTACTGCATCTACTCCATAGATTAGTGAAACCTAATGTCATTAGGTTGTAAAAATTCTAATCGGGATTATAAAATTTTGATCCTGCCCACATTTATATGTACTCCTCTATCCTCCCTAGTGTGTTCATAATGAGTATTCTCTCATTTCCCATTATCACCAAGCTTTAGTTAGGGACACACTCCTGACAATATCTGAGTGTCCCTGTAGAATCTCACTGAAACCAAACTCAAAATGGGAAAAAACTAATTCATATATCCCAGCACAACTGAGAAATGCTACATGGGAATAAGAATTTTATGATGGGATTCTGAGGTATTAGTATTCCTAGACCAGCAATATCTGTTGCTGCTACTGAAGACATAAAACTTGAGCACATTCCTTTCCTTAATTAAAAAAAATAAAATAATAAAAATAAAAAAATATAAAACAACTCTATAAATACATAGCAAGTTGATTATACTATACCCCCACTATAAAATGCCCTTATAACTAGATTCACAAGACATTGTTATTATAGGCCATGAGCAAAACCAAGGGGTATTTTCATTATAGTAAACTCTATGCTATGTTACTTGGCTTTCACTAAAGACCTTTCAGGCATTGATTCCTTCTTACATTTGGGGAAAGTTGGCATGTGCTTGTTTTCCTGGGAAAAAGAACAGGCCAAGAATAACAACAATGAAAGTTAAAAGTACTCCTTACCAATCTTATTCAACTACTGATTTCTACATACATGTCATCTAAAATAATTTTTAATGTGTCTATTAAAATATGTGAAGAAAAATTAATGGTTTCTGTGAAAAATACAGAAAACTATAAAGAAAACTGCTGCCCTTTAAAAAAATCCAACAGAGATAACAATATTTTGGTGTATTTTCTTCCATTAAATCTTAAGTATATACATGTGTGTCTACAGTCTAAAATCACACTGTAGGGGATCCCTGGGTAGCTCAGCAGTTTAGAGCCTGCCTTTGTCCCAGGGCATGATCCTGGAGTCCCGGGATCAAGTTTCATGTCGGGCTCCCTGCATGGAGTCTGCTTCTCCCTCTGCCTGTCTCTGCCTCTCTCTCTCTGTGTCTCTTGTGAATAAATAAATAAAAATTTTTTTAAATAATAAAAATAAAAATAAATAAATAAAAATTAAAAAAATAATAAAAATAAAATAAAATAAAATTATACTGTAATACATATATACAGTATATATGTAATATATAATATATACAAATATTATATATTTTGAACTCACGTAAACTCATGACCCTGAGATCAAGACCCAAGCTGAAAGCAGGAGTCAGACACTTAACCAATGGAGCCATCCAGGTGCCCCTTTGGATATGTGTGTGTGCATATGTGTGTGTGTGTGTGTGTGTGTGTGTGTGTGTGTGTGTGTATATTAAGATTTTTAAAAAATTTTTTTAAAATTTTTATTTATTTATGATAGTCACAGAGAGAGAAAGAGAGAGAGGCAGAGACATAGGCAGAGGGAGAAGCAGGCTCCATGCACCGGGAGCCCAATGTGGGATTTGATCCCGGGTCTCCAGGATCGCGCCCTGGGCCAAAGGCAGGCGCCAAATCGCTGCGCCACCCAGGGATCCCCTTTTTTAAGATTTTTTACTTATTTCTTCATAGAGACAGAGAGAGAGAGAAGCAGAGATACAGGCAGAGGAAGAAGCAGGCACCGTACAGAGAGCCCAGCGTGGGACTCGATCCAGGGTCTCCAGGATCATGCCCTGGGCTGCAGGCAGTGCTAAACCGCTGTGTCACCGGGGCTGCCCTTTTTTTTTTTTTTTAAGATTTTATATATATATATATATATATATATATATATATATATATATATATATATATATGGAACTATATAAGTGAGATCTACACCCAGCATGGGGGGGGTTAACTCACAAACCCCAAATTAAGAGTTGCATGCTCTACGAAGCCACCAGGTACCCCCAATTTTATAGTTTTTTTCTTTCTTTCTTTACATCATAAGCATTTTTCCATGTAAAATCTCTTTAGAAATGACATCATATATATTTAGATAAGCCATAAATTTATTTTTTTGAAAGATTTTATTTGACAAAGAGAGTAAGAGAGAGAGAAAGCGCACACCCACAAGCAGGGGGAGCAGCAGAGGGAGAGGCAGAAGTGGGCATTTTACCAAGCAGGAAGCCTGATGTGGGATTTGATCCCAGGGCCTTAGGATCGTGACCTTAGCCAAAGGCAGACACTTAACTGACTGAGCCACCCAGGCACCCCATCTTTTCTTTTTCTAAAATATTTTATTTAGGGGGATCCCTGGGTGGCTCAGCGGTTTGGCAATTCTGGAGTCCCAGGATTGAGTCCCGCGTCGGGCTCCCGGCATGGAGCCTGCTTCTCCCTCTGCGCCTCTCTCTCTCTCTCTCTCTCTCTCTCTCTCTCTCTCATGAATAAATAAATAAAATCTTAAAAAAATGTTTAAAAAATATTTTATTTATTTGAGAGAGAGAGAAAAAAAATCAAGCACAAATAGGGGGAGGGACGGAGAGAGAGGTAGAAGCAGGCTCCCTACCGATACCCTGGCATCACAACCTATGCCAAAGGCAGATGCTTAACTGATTTAGCCACTCAGGTGTCCCTAAAGCAGACCATAATTTTCAACAATGTTGCAATGAACTTTCTTTTTTTTTTTAAGATTTTATTTATTTATTTGAGAGAGAGAGCAGGAGCGGAGTGAGGGGCAGAGGGAAAAGTAGACAACCAGCTGAGCAGGGAGCCTAATATGGGGCTCCATCCCAGAACCCAATCCCAGGACCCTGGGTTCATGACCTGAGTTGAAGGCCAAGTGCTTAACAACTGGGCCACCCAGGCACCCCTGCAATTAACACCTCTATGTCTGAATCTCTATAAGCACTACAGATTTTTCTTAGGACAGATTCCTTAAAAAGAATTAAAGACAAAGGGTAGGATGCTCTTATGGCTGTTGATACATGTTCTGTGGGCAACTTTCCATTCCTGGCCACATTTAAAAATTTCTTTCTTTTTTTTTTTTTTTTTAAATTTCTATCAATAGGTGAGTGCTCAAAGAATACTAATTAATGTTAATCTTCACCAGAGGGGGGAAAGTTACAATAAACTTGTTGCATAAAGAGATGGGGATGAGGGTATTACACATTCTGAAGTTTATTTCTGTGGTACAATGAAGGCAAGGATTGCATTCACTGAGTATGAGTTACTTATCAATAGCACTCTCTATTTTACCAGATTATCACAGAACTTGTCGGTCAGCCCACACTTCATGGTTGGCACACTTACTCAGCAGCAGGTTTAGCCCTGCCTATGCTTGGTGATCTCAAGTAGGACTGTCATCTATTCCTGAACTTCTCCACCCAGAAAGAATCCTAACATCCTGACATCAGAAAAATTTGCCCTACGTGCTGGGAAGAGTTAATTTAATTTAATCTTCCTTTTCTAATAAGAATTTTAAGAACTAAAAAATAAAAATAAAAAATAAAAAAAAGAATTTTAAGAACTAGTTGATGAAGGTCAATAGACAGATTGCCAAGCCAATTCTTCAGAGGCAATAAAATTTTCAAATTAAAGAAAAAATATGGAATTATTTGTATTCTACCATGATTAAATCCCCCAAAGTTAGTTGAAAGGTATATGCTGAGGGGCACCTGGGTGGTGCAGTTGGTTAAGCATTTGACTCTTGGTTTCAGCTTGGTTTCGGCTCAGGTGGAGATCTCAGGGTAGTGATATCGAACCCTGCATCTGGCTCCATGCTCCCCGCAGAGTCTACTTAAGACTCTTTCCAGGAGTGCCTGGGTGGCAAAAGCATCTGACTCTTGGTTTAAACTCAGGTCGTTGATCATAAGATCAAGCCCTGGGACCAGCTCCACTCAGCATGGAGTCTGCTTGAGATTTTTTTTCTCCCTCTGTCCATCCTGCTCCTGTGCTCTCTTTCTCTAAAATAAATAAATAAGGGATGCCTGGTGGCTCAGTAGTTGAGCATCTGCCTTTGGCTCAGGGAGTGACCCCGGGTATGGGGATTGAGTCCGATATCAGGCTTCCCACAGAGAGCCTGCTTCTCCCTCTGCCTGTGTCTCTGCCTCTCTCTCTCTCTCATGAATAAATATATAAAATATTTTAAATAAAATAAAATAAACAAATAAATCTTAATAAAGAAAAAAAGATTCTTTTTCTCTCCCCACCCCATGCTCTCCCTTCTAAACAAGTAAATCTTTAAAAAAACAAAAAACAGAAAAGGTATGTGCTTGTTGTTTTTTAAATTTATTTATTTTTGGCAAACTCTACACTCAGTGTGGGGCTCTGAGATCAAGAGTTGCATACTCTTCCGACTGAACCAGGCAGGCACCCTGGTGAGTGCTTGTTACTAAAGCTCACCTGAGCATGATTCCACCCAGACGAATGGCTCTCTTCCAGTCCTTTAGGGTGGACTTGCCAGCCAGATGAACAAAATGCTTGGGACTGATCAACTGATCATTGAACTAAGGTAAAAGGGAAAGTCCAAATTAACCCAAGGTCAACTTAGGCAGGCCAAGAGGGAAAGAAAGGTAACTCTACTTGTTACGTACAAAAAATACCCAGATGACATCTTAAGTCATAGCCTTGTATCTTCCAGCCTCCTGCCCTGCTGTGCCAGAGAAGATGATCCTTCTCTGGGCACAGTGCCCTGTCCTGGTACATAGCTACATATGACAGGAGGAAGATCAGAGATTAATACACTGATTAGCATCTGAATCCATTTATGCCCTAAATCAGGCACTTGGGTCCAACATTGCAGAGGCTGTTTAAATCAACTGAAGTAATCTACCCAGCCCTGATGACAAGATGTGGTGGAAAGAATAAGTACCATAGACACCACTATCAATGCAGAGCCTCAAAACTCTATAATTCTTAATGATTCTAGGATGATGCCACTGATGGTACAGTGGCTACCAACAGAGACAGAATAAACAATTATTTCTACTTTGTGCTCTCATGAAAATTTGTTTTTATTAGTAATAATTTTCAATAAACTCTACTATAATGTACACTTCTATTAGGCATTTTACATATGTTCTCTCATTTCATCTGCTAGCAACCTTACAGTGTATGTGACTGCATATTTTAACATGAGCCTCTGAAATATTATCTTGTTCAAGGTCACCCAGTTATACAGATGGGACTCCATTTATTCATTCAACAAACATTTATTGATAAATATGCCAAGCATCATTCTAAGTGCTGGGGATATGGCAGTGAGCAAGACAAACAAGTTCTCAGCTCTCAAAAAACCTGTATTCTGCATGGGACTTGAACCCAGGTCAATTTCACTCCAAAGTCCTTATGTTTTTCTGTGACACCATGGGATTATAGCCACAAAACTGAAAACATTGATATGATAGATAAGAGAGAAGAGGCAGTTAAACTATACTCTTTGAAAATAAGAAGCCCCCAAATAGACCCCAATAAGGAGAAAAGACAATTACCTTGACACATTTCACATTTATTCCTGGACATACAAACTTCTTCCAGAGGAGAATGGCTTTGCTCTCCCCACAAGTTATGGGGTAAGCAATTTCCATATCCTCATTTGCTTCTATAGTGCTTGCATCTGAAAATAGAAAAAAAAATTTTAGTTATTTATTGAACACTTTTCCTCAAAAGCTTAATTCAAAATCTCTTATCTCTTGGTTCCTCTGAGGAGCTAACAGTTTACATTGGCTGAGAATGTTTTGGAATCTTCTGGAAAAATTTGACAAAACAACTCTCTTACCAAGCTCACACACTATGTGCCAGACACAGTCCTATGTACTTTTACATGCTTAATTTTATTTTATTCTTACAACAATCCTGTGAGGCAATGACTGTTTTCAACGTACATAGGTGGGACTCAGAAAGGTGAAGTGACTTTCCCAAGGACACACAGAAAGTAGGATTTAAACTCAGGTTTATAGGGCATCCCCAGAGTCTCAGCGGTTTAGCGCCGCCTTCAGCCCAGGGTGTGATCCTGGAGACCGGGGATGGAGTCCCACATCAGGCTCCCTACATGAAGCCTGCTTCTCCCTCTGCCTGTGTCTTCTGTACCTCTCTCTCTCTGTGTCTCTCATGAATAAATACATCTTTAAAAAAAATAAATAAATAAACCCAGGTTTGTCTAATTTCAAAGTTTTTTTTTTTTTTTCAGTTTCTTTACACTGACTGCTTTCCAATCAACACATTCTAAGTTCTCATCAACAACTTCCCTAATGACAGGATCAACCTTGAGGTTCCAATTTCTTTGTGGAATTTTTGTAGATGAAGATCTTTTCAGCACCCTAGCAAACTGATGTTAAACAATCAACTGACAGCTCTAGCATCTTAGTAGTGTCTCTAGATGCACTACTGTCAAATTGATGACTGCATTATTATTAGTAGGGCATATGGGGTAGGGGGGAAAAACTGTAAGGCACAAAAGGGATGAAATCTCAAGTAAGAAAGCTAAAGTCAAAGACACTGGAGTAACAAAAAGACTTACCAATCCCTTCCTCAATTTTGTGAATTGTGTGAGTTTCTACTGCTACAACTGCCGTGTTGTTCTCGGACCCAGGTTCATAAATCCTGTTGTAAAAGTGTCCATCGATAAACAAACTATATAAATCATGAAAAAATTAATATTCACAGCATGGGGTTAAGAAATTTGTTATAATCTATCTCAAAAGGAATAAAATAAATATACTTTACAACTATGTTAGTGCTTTGACTAAGTCCCCATTGTATTTAAACTCCAAACTTCCCAGGACTGCTTAGCAGCTACTGCCATGGACATGAATCCAACAACTTTCCTCATTTCAAAGGAAAGTTCCTCTTGCTACTGTCTTTACATCACCACTTGTTACTGTTTACAACAGACTTTTGCCTTCATAACTTTAAATGCTTGTGACATAAAATGTTGCTTCAAGTATAAGATTAAGTTATATTATAGAATTAACCAAACAAGACTTAAAAGTAATACTGTTGGATACTTCAAGACAGGAAGAACCCACTGGCCATAGAAGCTGATGTCCTTTGTTGGAATCTAGACACTTTAGTCTTTTTTAGCACTTTAGTATTTTTTAAAGCATCATAACCAAACTATTGACATGAGCAAAGCCTAGTTGAAAAGAGAGAGAGTGGAGATCCCTGGGTGGCTCAGTGGTTTAGCGCCTGCCTTTGGCCCAGGTCCTGATCCTGGAGTCCCGGGATTGGGTTCCACGTTGGGCTCCCTGCATGGAGCCTGCTTTTCCCTCTGCCAATGTCTCTGCCAGTCTCTCTCTCTCTCATGAATAAATAAATAAAATCTTTAAAAATAAATAAATAAATAAATAAATAAATAAATAAATAAAATATCACTTAGGGAAAGTCTCTCTAAAATGTTTCTATCTTCTGTGGTGCCTGGGTGGCTCAGCTGGTTAAGTGTCAGACTCTTGACTGTTACTCAGGTCATGATATCAGAGTCGTGAGATCAAGCTCCACATCAGTCTCTGCACTGGGCATGGAGCCTGCTTAAGATTCTCTTACTTTCCCTCTCCTCATCCCCATCTATCCCTCTATAAGTAAGTAAGTAAGTAAGTAAATAAATAAATAAATAAATAAATAAATAAATATTTCTACCTTCTAAGAAATGGGCTCAGATAACCTAATACACTAACAACCTATGTTTAATTTCTATAATAAAGTTAATGTATTAACCATTGCATCTTGTTATTTGAAAGCACTGCCTGAATAAATATCTCTTGTATCAGTGATCACTCACTCCCATGGTGACATCCCTAGCACAGACCTCTTCTCTGAATTTCACACCAGGATACAGTTAACTGCTAAATAAATAAATGCATTTGGATGTCCCAAAGGACTTTGCTGAATTCATTATGTCTAAAATGACCAAGTTCTTGGGATGCCTGGGTGGCTCAGTGGATGAGTGTCTTTCTTTGGCTCAGGGTCCCTGGATTGAGTCCCACCTCAGGCTCCCAACAGGGAGCCTGCTTCTCCTTCTGCCTATGTCTGCCTCTCTCTGTGTGTCTCTCATGAATAAATAAAATCTTTAAAAAATTAAAAATTAAAATAAAATGACCAAGTTCTCTTCCCTCTCCTAAACCATTCTTCTATTTCCTATGCTTGTTAGTGGCACCACCAGTACTTTACAGCCTAAGACAGAAGCCTGGGAATTACATCAGACTTCTCCCTCTTCCTCCTCCTCAACTCCCACATACTCAGCCACCAAATCCTACCAGATGTATCTCCTTAACACCAGCCAGCCTCCTTGTCTCTTTTTCCACTGCTACTGCCTTAATTCAGGCTGCATCATCTCTAGTCTGAACTAGTCTCCTTGCATCTACGGATCTTCTGTATTCCTACCAGAGTAATCACATAAATCCCTCCTTAAAACCTTCCAAGAACCCTCTACTTGCTGTAACAATAAAGCCCCAAATCCTTAATAAGATATTTAAGTTGCTCCAAGATCTGGTCCCTGGTTTCAACTCTCCTTAAACCTCACTTTATAATCCAAGCCCCAGTCATACCAAATTATCTGTGGCTCCCAGAATTATCATCTTCTTTTACACCTTCTATCTTTGATCTCACTTCCTGCTTTCCCCAGAACATCCTTTCCTATTTGTTTGTTTGTTCTTAAGATTTTATTTTTAAGTCATCTTTACACCTAATGTGGGCCTTGAACTTATAACCACAAAGAGTTGCATGCTCTACTGACCGAGCCAAGCAGGTGCCCCTCTATTTATTTTTTAATGAGTGGCCTCTATGATGCTTTTCCTTCCTGATATTCCACCAGTATAATCACCTACATCCTCTTTTGTGATCCAATTGTACTTTACACTTTGTCACAACACATATAACACTTAATATTATATGTTTGTTTAGCTGTTTGCCTCCCCTTGGATATAGTCTAAGAGGCCCCTGAGAGCAGAGATTATGTCTTATTTATTTACTCAATTTTGTATGTCTAGTGTATCGAATATAACTAAAACATAGCAAAGCACCCAATAAGGGCTAGTCAGTGAATGAGTGTTATGATAAACATGAGAATCGCTGCTTTAAGTAAGTTCTGTAAACTCATTCTAAATTGACCAATATGGGGACGCCTGGGTGGCTCAGCAGTTGAGCATCTGCCTTTGGCTCAAGGCATGATCCCGGGGTCCTGGGATAGAGTCCCACAGCGGGTTCCCTACAAGGAGTCTGCTTCTCCCTCTGCCTATGTCTCTGCCTCTCTCTGTGTGTCTCATGAAGAAATAAATAAAATCTTTAAAAAATAGAAAAAATAAATTGACCAATATGTGCAAATCCTTTAAAAGAAGAAATTCTTATTTATATATAAGTTCAACAGCCAGTAAATTGCACTTGTGGTGGGAAGTGGGGTACAGTCTATATTTTTGTAAGTAAACAGGGTTTTATCAAGAAAAAATTTCCTGGGGTGCCTGGGTGGCTCAGTTAGTTAAGTGTCTGACCATGATTTCAGCTCAGGTCATGATCTCAGGGTCTCAAGATTGAGCCCCGTATCAGGCTCCACACTCAGTGTGCAGCCTGCTTGGGATTCTCTCTCTCTTTCCCTCTGTGCCCCGCCCCCCCAAACACACACCTGCATGGGCAAGTACACATACATGTTCTCTCTCTCAAAAAAATAAATAAGTATGGGGGATCCCTGCGTAGCTCAGTTTAGCACCTGCCTTTGGCCCAGGGCGTGATCCTGGAGCCCCAGGATCAAGTCCCACATCAGGCTCCCTGCATGGAGCCTGTTTCTCCCTCTGCCTGTGTCTCTACTCTCTCCCTCTCTGTATCTCTCATGAATAAATAAATAAAATCTTAAAATAAATAAATAAAATAAGTAAATAAGTAAAATAAAATAAAATATAACTAGAGAAATCAGCTGAGCATTGATTGGCAGCCATCTCAAAACTCAGGACCTGAAAATGTATTCATTAGTTCATATGGCAAATTTTTTTTTTAATTTTTTTTAAAGATTTTATTTATTTATTTATGAGAGACAGAGAGAGGCGCAGAGACACAGGCAGAGGGAGAAGCAGGCTCCATGCAGGAAGCCTGATGTGGGACTCGATCCCCGAACTCCAGGATCACGCCCTGAGCCAAAGGCCAGCACTTAACCGCTGAGCCACCCAGGCGTCCCTCATATGGTAAATTTAGAGTAAACAGTAGATTGCGGAGTCAAAGTATTGTACAAAGATGTCTATAATCTAATCAAGCAATGAGACTTTTCCAAAAAAAGCAGTATTATTTGGAAAATAAAAAAGACACACAAAACAAGTGGAACTGATCTTCAAAATAATTAAGTCTCTAAGTGTTTTCTGTCTCTAGGAGGACTAGGATTAAGTGACAATTAGAGCACTTTAGGAAAAATAGAAGAAACAATGACTCCAAGAGAAAATAAAGCTGCCATGCACAAAAGAATCTTCTGCTAATTCTTCCTCATTACCCTTTCTCAAAGGGTAACAACTATGAATATGTGTGTAGGTAACAAATAAAATTCCCAAACAAGTGAATTTAAATAAGCAGGCATAATCTTTAGGTGCCAATAATAATTCTAAACACTGTATTCACTATATGTCAGTAATTATTTTTTCTTAAGCTTTTATTTTTTTTAAGCCATTTCTCCACCCAATGTAGGGCTTGAATTCACAACCCTGAGATCAAGCATTATACAGTCCAAATGAGCCAGCCAGGCACCCCATCAGTACTTAAGTCAACTTTCCCTTACATATCTTAGAATATTTCCTTCAATATTCAGAAATGTCAGCAAACTATGGTTATATTTTAAAAACTAAAAAATCCTTACTTTTACAAGACACATACTAATGTCTAGGATTTGCTTCAAAAAACTTAGGGGTAGGCAGATGTAGAGATGAAATAAGACTGGCCATGTGTTGATAACTGTTGAAGTTGGGTGATGGGTGTGTACACAGGGGTTCATTATAGTATTTTTTAAATTTTAGGGTATATTTCAAATTTCCTATACTAAAACAAACAAACAAACAAACAAACAAAAAAACAAGGTATATTACTTAGTAGATTGAGATTGAATTATGTGTTTGCCCAAGGATATTTTCTCTCTCTCTCTCTCTCTCTTTTGTTGTTTTTTGTTTGTTTAAAGTAAGCTCCACACTGGGTATGGAGCCCAATGTAGGGCTTGAACTCATAACCCTGAGATCAAGACCTGAGCTGAAATCAAGACTCCGGATGCTTAGCCAACTGAGTCACCCAGGCACCTCTCTTCATTCTTTCTTTAAGTAATCTCTATACCCAACATGGGGCTCAAACTCACAACCCCAGGATCAAGAGTCACATGCTCTACTGGCTGAGTCAGCCAGGAACCCCAAGATCATTTCTAACTGTATAAAGAATCTTTCATACATTGAAGATAAAATACCCCTCCCTCCTCTCTGTAGATCTAAATTTTTTTTTAAGATTTTATTTATTTATTCATGAGAGACACAGAGAGAGAGAGAGGCAGAGACACAGGCAAAGGGAGAAGCAGGCTCCACACAGGGAGTCCACCGTAGGACTCGATCCCGATCCCAGGTCTCCAGGATCACGACAGCTGAGCCATCCAGGCTGCCCTGTAGATCTAATTCTTATTTAAACTTCAATACCATTTAAAAGATCCTATCTCGGGATGCCTGGGAGGCTCAGCGGATGAGCCTCTGCCTTAGGCTCAGTGCGTGATCCAGGAGTCCTGGGATGGAGTCCCATATTGGGCTCCTTGCGTTGAGCCTGCTTCTCCTGTCTCTCCCTCTCTCTGTGTCTCTCATGAATAAGTAAATAAAATCTTAAAATAACTAAATAAATAAAAGATCCTATCTCTTCTTTCAAATTCATAATGATCCTCTGAATTCAAGCTACTTGCTAACCATAATACTTGGCACTTTTTAGATTTTTGCGAAGTAAGTGACCTCTTTATTTATATATATGTATTTTGGTTTGCACTAGACTGCAGGCTCCATGATGGTGGGAACCATGTGCTATATTTATATTTCTTCCAATGCTTTGTAATACCCTAGATAATAGTAGGGTCATTAATATATATTTTTTGATAAGCTAAGCTTGATTAATTTGCCCATCTCGGGCAGCCCTGGTGGCTTGGCGGTTTGGTGCCGTCTTCAGCCCAGGGTGGGATACTGGGGACCCAGGATGGAGTCCCGCGTTAGGCTCCCTGCATGGAGCCTGCTTCTCCCTCTGCCTGTGTCTCTAACTCTCTCTGTGTGTGTCTCTCATGAATGAATGAATGAATGAATGAATGAATGAATGAACGAATAAATAAATAAATAAAATCTTAAAAAAAAATTTTGCCCATCTCTTAGAGTCCAGACTGCTTCTGATAGGAAAACTTTTGTAATTGCCTTGCCTAACCTCCTCTGACTAACTACACTGTCTTTTGGTAAACATGTACCAAGACCCTGTGCTAGACAGTGTGGATAAATAAGAGGAGGGAGCCATGTAACTTATCCTCAAAGAGCTTACAGTAGACAAGAGGGAGAGAGACAAGGACACGATTCACTGTTGTATTACAATGACAAATATAGCACATAATACTTAATAAAGATGTTAGCCAGCTCTGAGAGACTGATGTTGAATGTTCCCTCATGCTAAGCAATCATACAGTTATAATTTCCCCACTCTTTAAACCTCCCAAATTTTTCACAATATCCAAATCTCTAGTAACTTACCCTTGCTGCACAGGCTGTAACTGCAGGATCACTTGGGTTTTAGTGTCTTCAGGGTTCTCTCCTTCATTTCCTTCAGTGGGTACCACAACCACATCCCCCACTGGAACACTCACTTCTGCATTAGCCATCTTTCACATGAAGTCAGATAGCTGGACTGCTGTCAGAAACAAGAAGCACCAATGACTTTGGTATGAAAAGATGGCTACCATAGGAAAGCAACACCAAGATAATTATGACTACCAATTCCAAGATCGTGGTCCTTTGAAAGGATGGGAACTGTGAGAAGAAGGTGACCTAGGCTCTGATCTTTCCAGAAATGCCTTAGTACTCACTTGTTGATTTAGGGCTTCTTAGTATATATGATTCACCCAGTGCTGTACTGGAGCTTGCTCTCTGCTCTCTCTCTCTCTCTCTCTCTTTTAAGATTTCATTTATTTATTTGAAAGAGAGAGAGGGAGACCACAAAGGGAAAGGGAAAAGCAGACTCCCCACTGAGCAGAGACCCCAATGTGGGACTCAATCCCAGGACCCTGAGATCATGACTAGAGCCAAAAGCAGTTACTTAACTGAACGAGCCACCCAGGCACCCTGGAGCCTGCTCTTGAGAACCAATAGTGCACATCTCTTCTCAACTCCAAGTTTGGGGACATCGAATTAGTAGCTTGAAATCAGTGATGCTGGGAGTTTATACACCACAGAAATTGGCAAGCACTACAAATCAAGATTGTTGTTGTTGTTGTTTTTCTGGAAAACTGATTTACAGCACACTACTAGTTCCATCCCAAATAAACCCCAAGAAAGTAGGAATCATCTATTTTCTATGCAACCAGCCATTACACCTCATTAAGTGCTCTGTACTTTGTGAATTACTTAATAAGTACCTGCTAACTGAAATAAACTGTGTAGGAAGAAGAATGACTTGCATTACATGATTGTTTAATAAATACTGAATCCAATTGCACGACCTCTAGGAACTTCTTACTACCTCTTTGCCTCAGACTGAATGGAGGGATGATTTTGCCTGACATCTCCCTTGCAGACTTGTTGGGGATACCAGTGTCCAGCACCATATGCTCCTTGACTCTAATGTAATTCAAAGCATTATCCCAATTTTAATGAAAACTCAGAGGGCCCCAGGACATTCTGCAGCAGTTAGTCCTCACAGTTGCAAAGAAAGGAGTCACTTAAGAGAGTATAGGTAGGAGCCACTGTGTTTACTTAGATACGAGAGATGATTAGGACATGTTGAACAGAGTAGGCACATGGTGGATGCATGTTTGAGTATGTGATTGGTAGTCAAACAACTGAATCCACATCTCAGCTCTGCCACAGCACTTGTTTGCCTATAATATGCATACTTAAGCACAGCCCTCAAAACTCCCTCATCTAGCCCCCAAATAGTTTTCCAGTTTCATCTACAACTGTAATTCTCAAAGAATCTTAATTGCCAGCCATACCAGCCTCCCCCTGTACTCTGCACATACAATATGTACATTCAGGTTTCTATACCTTTGTTATTCCTTAAGCCCAAACTCTCTTCTTGTCTCCTTCTCCCTTCAAGGCTCAGTTCAAAGCTCACTCCTCCACAAAGCCCCTGCCAAAACATTTTTTTGTCTTCAGTCCCCTAACACTTGGTTTGTAGCTCTCCTCTAATGATTATCACACTGTGCTTTGTATTATAGTTGACTGAACAGACCTCTATCTCCATAACTGCACTATACTCTCCATGAGGTGCTTTTCTTTGTTTTTTAATTTTTGGGGCATTTTTAATTCTATAAGGGCAGGCGCTGCTTCTTTAAAAAGCTTGTCTCCCACAGCACTGTTTATCATGGCACTGACACATTGATTCAATCAACTTTTGTTTTCGACTAAATTCCTCATATCAGAGGTATGCTTCTGCCTTTTATGATTCTCACATTCAACTTTGTTATACCTCCTGCTATATGCTATACCTCCTGCACCCAAAAGCCTCTTAACATTTATTTTGTAGGCACCTTTTTTTTTTAATTTTTTTTTAAATTTTCATTTATTTTATGATAGTCACACAGAGAGAGAGAGAGAGAGAAAGAGGCAGAGACATAGGCAGAGGGAGAAGCAGGCTCCACGCACCGGGAGCCCGACGTGGGACTCGATCCGGGGTCTCCAGAATCACGTCCTGGGCCAAAGGCAGGCGCCAAACCGCTGCGCCACCCAGGGATCCCTTGTAGGCACCTTAAACTCATTTTCTCTCATAAACCTGCTGTTTCCTGCCTCTGTAAATGGCACTATCCTCTACCCATTTTCTCAAGTCAGAAACTAAAGACTTGAGAAACCCCAAGAAACTTGGGAGTTTCATTCTTTCATTTTCATTCTTTTCTTTCTAAATCCAATCCACTACCAAATCCTATCCATTCTTTTTTTTTAATCCTATCCATTCTATCATCTATATTTCTCTTTTAACCACCCCCCATTTTCCATCTGTGCTGCAACCACCATATCCTAAGATGCCACACTGTTACTTGAATTTTTCCAGCTGCTTCTCATCTATATCCTAATATCTGGTCTTGTTTTCCACTCCATTATCTACAGAATCGAAAAAGTCATCTTACTAAAGGCCACAGGCCATTTCCCCATTTCAGAATCCTTCAGTGGACTCTCTTTGCTATTAAAGTGTAAGCATTTAACAGTGCTTACAGAATCCTCCAAAACTATCCCCTGTCCACCGTGCTAGCTTGATTTCTCATAGTTCTTCCTCTCACACTGTGGGCTCCTGTCACTAAATTGTTTTCAGTTTCTCAATATTTCCTCACCTGAGCCTTCACAGTTGTTTCCTCTACCTAGAATTCTCTTCCTCTTTGGCTAGTCACTGCTAAACTTTTATAACTTATTTAAAACATCACTTCCTGGGATGCCTGGCTAGCTCAGTTGGTAGAACATGCAACTCCCAATCTCAGGGTCATGAGTTCAAGCCCCATGTTGGGCATAGAGTTTACTTAAAAAGTGGTGGTGTGGGGGGGTGTCTGGGTGGCTCACTCAATTGAGCATCTGCCTTCAGCTCAGGTCATGATCCTGGGATCCTGGGATGGAGCCCCACATTGGGCTTCCTGATCAGTGGGGAGCCTGTCTCTCCCTCTCCCTCTGCCACTCCCCCTGCTTATCCCCTCTGTCAAATAAATAAATAAATAAATAAATAAATAAATAAATAAATAAATAAATAAATAAATAAATAAAATATTTAAAAAGACATACCAAACACACACACACACACACACACACACACACACACACACACAATGTTCATTCACAGGGAGGCCTGTGACTTCCTGGACTAGATGTAACCTTGTGTTCTTGCTCCCTTGGAACCTGCTGCAGAACTCCTCTCATAACCATTACCCCACTTTGTCAGCCTCTCCCCACGCAGAGTACATCCTGGGAGAGCAAAGATTGCTTTTCTTCTTCATGCCTAGCTTAGTACCCAGGACACAGAAGTAAATAAAATTTTTAAATATCAGAGTTTAATTTACAAAACTCTCCACCTAAAACTTTCTAAGGAAATCTGGCACATAACAGTATGTAATAAATTTTTGTGCAGTGAATTACTCGTCTTGCCCTCAAAGACGTCCAGAATTTTCCACTTTTCTAAATTAAGGGATATAAATTTGTTAAGTTAGGCTAAACTTATTGCCTGTCATTATGGCCAGTTCAACAAATATTTACTGAGTTTCTACTACACGTCAGGCACAGAGTTACTGGGCTTGATGGATATGAAAAGGGACAGGACAAGATCTGCTCTTACAGAACTAAAGAAGGGAAAGATATGCATGACATACTAGAGAAAAAAATTAACTGTAAGATATTACAGTACACTATCTGAACTTCTGTAAATTAAAGGTTTAAAACTAGGGGATGGGGAGCACCTAGGCAGCTCAGTCAATTAAGCAGACGACTCTGGATTTTGGCTCAGGTCATGATATCAGGGCCCTGGGATCAAGCCCTGCAGCACTCTGAGCTCATGGGGGAGTCTGCTTCAGAATACTCTCTCCCTCTGCCCCTCCCCCCTCTCTCTAATAAATAAACCTTTAAAAAAAATAAAACTAGGGGGGATCCCTGGGTGGCTCAGCTGTTTAGCACCTGCCTTTGGCCCAGGGCATGATCCTGGAGTCCTAGGATGGAGTCCCACGTCAGGCTCCCTGCATGGAGCCTGCTTCTCCCTCCTCCTGTGTCCCTGCCTCTCTCTCTCTCTCTCTCTCTCTCTCATAAATAAATACATAAATCTTTAAAAAATAAAAAAATAAAACTAGCGATAAAAGAGAGAATCAATGGACTGGTTCAGCTGGCTGCCAGCAGAACCAAAACAATTAGGACCTTGGAGTATAGAAAAAGACAAAAAAGGATATGACGAAGCATACAAATGCTATCAAATCCTAGAATAACTGAACCAATGGATATCTTTCAAAGTTTGAACCATAAAAATGTAGCTTGAATGAAAATAATCACAGCTAATATTTGTAAGACACTAGTCAAGCACTACTATTACATACTTAATGAATTTAAAAGGTACAAACTTTAGCGAAAAAGGTACAAACTTTATGGAATTTATTATTTTAAAACAGTGGTTTACAGTTTTAATAGCTTAAGTAAATTAATGGATTAGAGGAGAATTAGAAGGATGTTTCTAGTTTTATTTATTTATTTATTTTTAAATTGTTTTATTTTTTCTTAAAGAACTATTTTTTAATTTTTATTTATTTATGATAGTCACAGAGAGAGAGAGGCAGAGACACAGGCAGAGAGAGAAGCAGGCTCCATGCAACGGGAGCCCGACGTGGGATTCGATCCCGGGTCTCCGGGATCGCGCCCTGGGCCAAAGGCAGGCGCCAAACCGCTGCGCCATCCAGGGATCCCAGATGTTTCTAGTTTTAACCTTCTACTCTAAGGTTGAGTCCTCTCTACAACACTCTGAATAAGTGGTTGACTAACTACTTGATTAATACTTTCCTCAATGGGAACTCATATTTTACTCCTTAGCCCTTCCACACCTTGGAACCCAAGAGGAATGTTCTCTAACCTTCTGAGTTTACCTGAGAAGGTAATTATAATCATCCACAATATGTCTCTTAGTGTCAGTCAGTAAGAGACACAAGTCTGATCCAACATGGCAATTCTTACATTCTTTAGAGAAGCAAGTGTAGGTTGAATATCTATTACCCTAAGTACCACATTCCTAACAAGTAACCCGAAACCAGCTCTACAGACTACACTGGCTAAATGCAAGGTCATCGTTTTGAGGTGAGTATAAACTGAAAAGTAGCTCTTGTTTATAGCAACAAAAACTCCTGAGGCAAGATGACCCAGTTGTTCCTTTGGGTATTTCAGGGATGGGACCTTAGAGTATTCATTGTGTAATCACACAACACCCTGTAATTCTAGGGGAAGACACATAAGGGAAAGATGTCAAATTTATGTGAAAAGAATTATTTTTGGGCAGCCTGGGTGGCTCAGAGGTTTAGCACCGCCTTCAGCTCAGGGCCTGATCCTGGGGATCAGCAATCGATTCCCACGTCCGGCTCCCTGCATGGAGCCTGCTTCTCCCCCTGCCTCTGCCTCTCTGTCTCTCATGAATAAATAAATAAAATATTTAAAAAAATTGTGTAGTCATTTTCAAAGCCAAAAAAGACATCTTGAAAGTAGGCACGTGACGACTCACATAAGCTACTGAAAAACAAATGACATCTGACCTACTCTGGATTAAATTCATGACTTACGTTCTGAAAACTAATGTTTTTTTTTTTTTTTTTGCTGTTTTTTTTTTTTTTAAAGTAATCTCTATGCCCAACATGAGGCTCAAACTCATGACCCCAAGTCGAGTCCCACACTCCATTGACTAAGGCAGCCAGGCACCCCTGAACACTGATATTTAAAATGTGGCAGGAGGGACGCCTGGGTGGCTCAGCAGTTGAGCATCTGCCTTTGGCCCAGGGCGTGATCCCAGGATCCAGGATCAAGTCCCACATCGGGCTCCTTGTGGAGAGCCTGCTTCTCTCTCTGTCTGTGTCTCTGCCTCTGTGTGTCTGTCATGAATAAATAAATAAAATCTTAAAAAATAAAAATAAAACATGGCAGGAACATGAGTGTCACATGACTGGAGGGACATCAGAGTTGGTAGTTGAAAAGGAATAAAAGAAATAGCACATATCCTGAAATTTTGTAACCCCAAAATGCATTTATTTATTCCACATTGTATTGTAATGTGTAGATTATGTTACCTATTCTTTTTTCTTTTTAAAGATTTTTATTTGAGGGCAGCCTGATCCTGGAGACCGGGGATCAGGTCCCATGTCAGGCTCCTTGCATGGAGCCTGCTTCTCCCTCTGCTTGTGCATCTCTAATAAATAAATAAATAAATAAATAAATAAATAAAATCTTTAAAGATAAAAACATCCATTTACCAAAAAATAAATAAATAAATAAATAAATAAATAAAGATTTTATTTGAGAAAGCATACATAAGTGAAGTTGGGGCAGAAAGAGGGACAAGCAGGCTCCCCATTGAAAGGGAGCCTGAGCTGAAGTCAGACACTTAATGGACTGAGCCATCCAGGTACCCTAACTGTAGAGTCTATTCTTAAGAAATTTCCAAGTTAAAACTTTATTATTACTTGAGGCCAAAACTCCTGGATTTTTTTTTTTTTTTTTTTTTTTTTTGTCTCTTTCATTCCTTCCCATACATTCAGTAAGTGATCCAGGGCACCACTATAAGATGTAATAAAGCCAACAAGAAAGCTACACAGGACCACTGTGAGGGACACAGCCAAAACAAATGAAGTGTGGGATAAGGCATATATTGGAGACTACTGCGTAAGTGTTTGGGGAAGTAACCGGATGAAAGTGTTCTTTGAAGGGTCATCACACTGGAATCTAGGGGCCTTCTGCTTAGGACAAGACCAATTTGGGGCCCAAGGTAACCCAATGAAGTTGAATACAAATTAGCTATTTAATATATGTTTGTTGAAGTAAATGTGAATAAATGGTTGACTAATGACTAACGAAAAAGTTATCAAGTCAGTAGATATTAAATATTCTGAATTGTTAAAGGCTCATAAATTAGGGACCATTTAACGAAAAAGTCCCCCCAAAGCACTTTGGTAGCCATTAGCAGAGGCAAAGGAGAAAAGGATCACTCCGTGAGTCTAGAATGATCTGACCCCTCGGTTTCCCTAATCCTCCAGGTTAAGGAGGAATCCCATTTCTTGGTTCTCCTAGATAAGACCCCAAACAAGGCCCCTTCTGTGTCTGGTAGGAAGTCCTTCTGAGATTTCTCTCATCTTAAGAGCATTCAGACCTTCTCCTGTTCCTTGGATGGTGGAGCCTTCCCCCGATCCCCAGGTCAAGGCTTGACAGGCGTTAGTCTGGTGGGTCACTCTCCAGGACCCTCAGGTAAGATTCTGTCATCGTCCCTGCCTCTCAGGGTACACTTGGCCAATTCCCCTGCCACTTCAGGAAGTAGGGGTCACTCAAACGATCTTCTCCCTGGTACTTAAAACACATGGGCTTTCCCATCCCCTGACACCCAGGCTGCCTGGTTCTCTACCTATGTATCAGAAAGTACGCGCTCCCTCACAGGTCTGGACCCTTCCCAGTCCTACTTGAGGAGGCTCTGAGGCGCCTTCCTACCGCCCCCTCACCTCTGGGGAGGCAGGGGCTCTGGAGCTCTTCTTCCTCGTCCCCTGCTCCCACCACCCACCCGGTCGCCACGCCTTCCGAACAGCACCTGCTTCTTTTCCCCCGGACTGAATGGCCGAGGCCTCTAACGCGCCCCTCGGGTGAAGCCCGGGCCTCCTTCCCTCAGCAGAACGCACTCTCTGCTCCTGCCCTCCCGCCACGCTTCCTGAGGGTCTCCTTCCCGGCGGGCATTCCGGCTTCCTTCACCTTTCGTCCCACCCTCCCTCTCCAGCCGCCCCCCGCCCCCCGCCCCCAACCAAGCGCGACCCAGGCCCCTCCCCAGCTCTGCGTCTAAGGGCCTACTGCTCCCGGGCCCCGCCTCTGGGGATACCCAGGGATCCCCGGACCCCTCGCCGGGGTCCTGGACGTCCGGGCCTCTCAGTCCGGAGTCACTCCGGCCCCTCCGGGCCCCTCAGACTAGGACTTCCGGGGCCCCCGGTGCGGGGGCGCGGGGCCCTCCGGCGCCCCGCTCGCCCGCGCCCGCCGCCCTCGGCCAGGGGCCGAGCCCGGGCGGCGCGGCCGGCCGCGCTGGGGGCGGCCCGGCTGCTCGGGCGGACCCAGCGGCAGCGTCCCCCCACCCCCCCGCGGCGCCGCGACGTCCGCTCGCTCCCCGGCGGCGGCGGCGGCACGCACAGGGCGTGGGGAGGCGCCCGCGGAGGCAGCAGCCCCCCGCCCCCTGCGCGCCCGCCCGCCCTCGCCGGCCGCCGCGCGGCCCCCGCGCCCGCCCCCCCGCCCCCACCCCACCCCGCGCCCGCGCCCGCGCGCCCACCCCTCCCCCTCCTCACCGTCTCCGTCGGGCGGGCGGGCGGCGAGCGGCCAGGGCGGGCGGGCGACGGAGCATGCGCAGAGGCCGCCACGGCCGCTACTGCCACCGCCGCCGCCAGGCCGGGCTTCAACACTTCCGGCCGCCGCCGCCGGCGAGCTGGCGCCTTAAAGGGGACGCGTCCCTATTGCGGGCCCCGCGGAGGATGAACCTCAGCCGGAGGGATTTGAGTGAGCCTTTACCTGAGCCGGGTCTTCTGTTCTGTAGAGTCAGTATTGGGAAGGGCTCTGGGAACCCTAATGACTCTTCTTCCCCCAATTGACGGTGAGGAAAAAGAGGTCTAAGCTAAAGATTCGCCTCATCCACAATCAGGGGCCGAAGCCGGTCTCTCGACTCCTCTGGAGGACTGCCCATTCCTTTTCCCCAAATCCAGTTTTATGGAGCTTACGTGTTGCAGACCTTCAGAAGTTATGCCCAACTATCAATTCGGAATCAAAGATCTGGTTGAGTATAGAGTCAATAACCGGTCACGAGTCCTTGAGCAAGCTGCTTGCATTCTCTGAGCCACGCGTGTTTGCCAAGCCTTGGCTGGTCATGAGGTTACGGGTTCAAGTCTTGACTTATGGGGGGGGGGGCGCGTTATTAACAGCTGCAAGGCTGTATGTCGCCGAAGGCATAGGTTGTTGTGAGTGTTAAAAGAGGTGAGAGTTGAAAAATGCTGAAGATTCCTGGGGCCAGTAATACTAATTAGCAAGTATTAAGACCTTTGTTGGGGAAGATGCTTTGTCTCCTATAGTAAATATTCCCGGCAATCCTACTTAAGTAACTTCTTTTGACTGCCGTTTTATGGATCAAAAACAAACAAAATAAAAACAAAGACCCAAACAAAGGCCAAGGAAGTTAACTAATTCCTAGAAGTCATATAACCTGTAAATAGTAGAGATGGGCAGGCTTTCACTTCAGGCACTCTTTCTGCAGAGTCTAAGGGTCTAATCGCTGAGATGGTTGCTCTCCTTAGTAGGAACAAATGAGGTGGGGGGCACTTTTTTGAGGGGGAAGGAGAATTGCTTCCCCATCTTGCCTCCTCCTGTGAGTTATCTCTCTGTTGGATGCCTCCTCCACCATGAAGAGGTGAACAGGAAGTCTTACAAGTTCTTGATTTGAGGACAGGTGAGGAGACCCAGGAGTCAACAATGGAACTGAATTTGGGATGAGATGTTGGCCAAGTCTCATCTAACTTAAGCCTTGATTTACTCATCTGTAAAATAGGGATGATTTTCCTACTGCGACCACTCCTCGGGGCTGTTTCCAGGATCAAATGAGATGTACTGCCCACATTAGTATCTGTTCTTATGATCAAGGACTTACACATTATCAGGTGATTTTGAATATAACAGGCTGGTCAAGACTGGACTCTTGACCTATATGAATTATTCCATAGTGGGACCATGTATATCTTTTGATAGATATTATCCTAGAGATATAACCTAAGCCCTAAAAGAAGTTCAAAGGGCCCTCCCTGGAGAATTCCTGAAAAGCTTTAGGAAGGAGGGGGTATTTGAGCCTGGTCTCAGGGATAAATCAAAGGGAAAGTGGGGAAGAGCATTGCAGAAAGTACAACATGTGCAAATACAAAGAAGAAATGATGGGAGATGGGCTGAAGAGGGAAGCAAGAACCAAATGCTCGTCCCAAGGAGTATGGAGCTAGCAAGCAGGACTTGGGGACCCAAGGAAGGTTTAGGTCCTCTCCAATTGCACTGCTAACTCCCAGCCCAACCCACAGGACTTGCCTGACCACTGCAATAATTTCCTAGCATTCAGACACACTATCCACCTCACCCTCAGATGTTCTCCAACCTATGCACCTGGAGGGAGTAATCTATTGAAGAGATAAAGTCAAATGTGACTTCTTTAAAAACTCTTTACTTTTTAATTTTTAAGAAGATTTTATTTATCTATTTGACACAGAGAGAGCATAAGCAGGGGAGCAGCAGAGGGAGAGGGAGAAGCAGGCTCCTCCCCACTGAGCAGGAAGCCTGACTCAGGGCTTGATCTCAGGCTTCTGGGATCACAACCCCAACTGAAGGCAGATGCCCAACAAACTGAGCCACCCAGGTGCCTCTAAAAACTCGTTAGTAGCTTCCCATGGCATTCAGAATAAAACCTAGCCTTACCACCACCATCAGGGCTACCAGGCATGATCTTTCTGCCCCTCACTCACTGTGCTCCAGACATCCTGGGCTCCTTTGTGTGCCAGGAACCCTGTGGGGCCTTATCACTAACTCTTCCCTCTACCTGGAAAGCATCTCCTTCAGGTCTTCAGAGCTCATTCTCATCCTTCATTACTAACAGGCCTTTCCTGGCTCCCAACCTAAAGTGGGGTCCCCAGGCACATTCTTTGCTATCATCACTGCCCCCAATTCCATCAGGGCAACTATTAAGTTCATCTGGGGGACTATTCCAGGGCAAAGACCACCTCTGAGAAAACCCCTCCTCCCCATGCCCTACTTTCTCTCTATCTCCCTGCTTACTTTGATAGCACTCCCCACAATTTAAAATCCCCTAGATTATTTATATACCTATTTGGGGTCAATCTGTATTGTTTATTCCTCATAGTATATATTTTTTTAATTTATTCATGAGAGACACAGGGAGGCAGAGACATAGGCAGAGGGAGAAGCAGGCCCCATACAGGGAGCCTGATGTGGGACTCTATCCTTAGACTCCAGGATCATGCCCTGAGGCAAAGGCAGGCACTCAACCACTGAGCCACCCAGGCGTCCCACTCCTCATAGTATTTGGAGCAGAGTTTGTGCGTGGCAAATGTTTGTTGATTGAAGGAATGAAAAATCAGAAAAATGTTAAGGTATGGATGGGGAGGAGAAAGGAGAAAGCATAGAGGATGCTATGTCAGAGAGACTGCTATGATCGTCCAGGTGGGGAGGCTCCTGCAGAGCAGGGCCAGAACAAATCCTCAGGGAGCTGATGTGCTCCAGACAGTTTCAAATTGGAACCAATAGGTGTTAGTGACCACCTGCATGTGGGGGGTGAGAGAAAGAATGAGACAATGATGACTTCCCAGGGAAGAAACAAAGGAGGAAAAGTTGGTGGGGGTTGAGAGAAAGTAGAAATGATGAGTCCGTTTGGACCTTTGGGTGTAAAGTGTTTGAGGGACATCCAAATGAAGGTGTTCAAAAGGAAGTTGGATTGACTTGTCCCATACAAGAGGCCAGGGCTGGGATCTAGGAGCTGGCATGTGGATGGGATCATACAGGCCAAGAGTGGGTAAGGCCACTCAAGAGTATGCAGAGAGGGAGGGGCTAGCTGCCCAAAGCTAGGGAACATTAAGCTGAGAGGAACCTGCAGGGACCAACCAGAAATGGTCAGAAAAGTTAGGTCCCTGGACAAAGGGGAGAAAGGAAGCCCAGAGAACAGGCAGGAAGCTTACAGGAAGAGGAAAGCACCAACCATATCTGATACTGCAGAAAGCTCTGACAAGGAAAAAGGAGAAGCCACTGAATTTGGCAACTAAGACTTCACTGTTGATCCTTCCAGGGTGGGGTCACCTCTGAGGTTGGGAAGGAGGCCAGATTGTAGTGGATCAAGTAGTAAATGGGAGGGGAAGTAACAGTACCAACCAGTGGAGACAGTTTTTTTTTTTTAATTTTTCTATAAGGGCGTCTGGGTGGTATAGTTGGTTTAAGTATCCAACTCTTGGTTTTAGCTCAGGTCATGATCTCAGGGCCGTGATATCAAGCCCCAAGTCAGGCTCCACACGGTGTGGAGTGTGCTTAAGACCCTCTCTCTCTCTCTCTCTCTCTCTCTCTCTCTAATTAATTAATTAATTAATTAATTCTTTAGAGGGGTACCTGGCTGGCTCATTTGGTAAGAGCATGTGACTCTTGACCTCAGGGTTATAAGTTCAAGCCCTGTTTTGGGTGTAGAGATTACTTAAAAATTAAAAACTAAAAAATAATAAAATATTATTTTTTAAAGTTTTATTTATCCATTCATGAGAGACACAGAGAGGCAGAGACACAGGTAGAGGGAGAAGGAGGCTCCCCATGGAGAACCCAACGTGGGACTCGATCCTGGGACTCCAGGATCATACCCTGAGCCGAAAGCAGATGCCCAACCACTGAGCCACCCAGGCGTCCCAATAATAAAATCTTTAAATAAAATAAGTAAAAATTTAAAGAAATGTTTTTGATAGAAATGAGAGACTAAGGTACAAAGCAGTAAGATGATTAAGAGGAAATAAAGTCATGTGAAGGCTTTCCTTTTTTTCACTTGTTTTCCCTGTGAATTACTTACTCACTATAGAAAATTGAGGGATCCCTGGGTGGCCTAGCAATTTGGCGCCTGCCTTTGGCCCAGGGCACGATCCTGGAGTCCCAGGATCGAGTCCCTCATTAGGCTCCCGGCATG